GCAGCCAACACCGTGGCAGCACCACGATGGATGCCATGAAGAGCGACCTCCCTGATGCGATTCGGGATGTCATATAGGTGAACTATTGGGACGGCACCTCTGGCATTGACAAATCCTGCCACGTACTCCATAGTTAGTTGAAGGCTCTCTAGTTGGGCGGACAAATCTGAAGAGTTCAAGAGGGAGATGATCAAAATCCTGAAGGTGAAATTGAAAGGAAACAAAGGTTATGATATCTCACCCATGATTCTGGCCTTGGCTTTGGCCAATTTATCATCCACAGAATCAACCACGGGAAGCGATCGGCATCGAGCCATGGCCGAGGTTGATTCTGAGAGAGAGACATTCGGCAAGACTCTGGCCATGACTGTCAATGGTGGCGAGCAAGTCATCATTGCCGATCCGCCACCTCGGGTAGCAAGGAAGCTGGCGATAAGCTGTCGACAAGGAAGACCCCAGAGGCCGAACGGAGTCGGCCCTATGACCTGAAGCAGTGGGCGCATCACGGGCTGCACCCACTTGACGATGAAGGCGTTGGCGCGATAATACAGATCCATCAAGAGCCCCCTCAGCAGACCTCTTGCTATTCTCCATAATCTCAAGCTTACGGAAAAAATAGGGACTATACTGAGGATGCAAAGGGATTGAGACGAAGCGGGTTGTTGCTAGACCCTCAGCCGTGGCCCGTATATATAGCCCGGGAAAGCAAAATCGGTTTCACCGGGGGTATGAAATTGAAATCAGAGACGAAAACGGATCAACACTCCAGGGATTCAGGGGACGGATAACGGAGAGGTAACAGATTCGAACTTATCGCTTCCCCAATTATGAAGCATCGTGGGATGGATACAAAGGATTTACATGGACCAAAGATCAACCCACCAAGGCTTCTTTTGGATTGAAGGGAGTCCGGATCCCCACAAGGCCAAGGATTATCATAAACCAGGTCACATCGGCCCATTAATAAGATTATGCCAAAGAAAGGGAAAAGACGCCTGATTAGCAGATACCCAGCTGATTTCTCTGTGACTGGTAAACCGCTGGAAAGAAGCTTGTGGTTTTCCCGATAGGCATTTGATGGAACAAACAAGGGAAAAGTGTCCACACATTCTAGCCCTTGCAAACACTAGAACAGCTCTGCGAGCATGGTGAGAAGATGCAGGCGATGTCACAAGACTTCTTCTAGCCGTAGCAGCTGATCCTCTTGCTCAACAAGGTGCTAGAATGAGTGACACAATCACCCTATGCACAAGAATTCTTCTAACCGCTCAAGATCTTTATTGCAAAGAGATAGGCCATGGAGGGTCCAGCGGAGTTGGGAGCACTCGAAAAGACGGATGGAAGAGAAACATGGCTGTAGTGTTGAGTTGCTCTCGCTAGGGTCGAATAAGCGTTTTATAGCCGGCCTGGGAAGATGGATCCAAATGCCCGTGAAACAGTGATGCTCTTGTAAAAAGTTTTTAGGCATAGGCTCATGAATGGACGCAAGCGGTGACAAACAGTGGGCCCCAAATCAAGGTTCTCTACCCGTGACTGTGGGTCAATCAGGGATGCAGACATGATAATTTTGGAATAAAATTACTTTTATCCTAAAATTAGGGGGCATGTGTTTACACCAGAATTTGGAAGAAGGATCTCAGAAGCTCGAGAGCTCCCAAAATCATGTCAGCAAGGGATCAATTGTGTGCAGATCGAAACCAGCTAGATTCGGATGCAACACTAGAATCGGCTTTCTTCAGATAGCGCCAGTAGATAACGACAGAGGCTATGATCGGCGCTGGGATGAGGCATGCTGGACTCTACAAAAAGGGAAAGATTAGAGTCCAAGTTATCTTAAATTAGAAATGTTTTCATTTTTATGCCAAAGATTGTAGCAGATTGTGCTCGAGTAGGATTCATGTTTAGACTCCGGGTATAAATATCAAACCCCGGCTATTGTAAAAGCACACAATCAATCAAATACAAGTCAATTACTTTTTTGGCTCCGGCCACCCCTTAGGAGTAGGAGTATAGTAGATCACGGTGAGTTCTTCAGCGAGTACGATTACATCGATCCGGTCGACCTCCACTACTTGTCTGTAAATACCGTCATGGTTTATACCTCTGTTCGTATGGCTACATCGATCCGGTCGACCCCCACTGCAACTCTGGTATAGGCTAGTTATCGACTCTTGCCTAGTTCAAGTATGACCTGTGTGATTCTGCCTCACACCCACTGCTTGAACTAGATCAATGTCGAGCTATTGGCTCTACTTTAGGATGGCAATCTTTGGTAGATTCATTAAGTTACCGATATTGCTTATTGCTTTCATCATTTATCTAATTACAGCAATATCACTCTACCCGATTGAGATTGATCTGGATCGGCCTTATATCTTATTTAACCCATCGTTTGCTAATCTAAAGTTGATCTAATCTACACCTTAAATGATGAGTTATGTTTTATCGGCTGTTTTATATCAATCTTAATCGTGCATAGTGTGCGGTTAAGGCATGTTTGATCTTGAGTAGATCTATTGGTTAGCAAGAACCGTTTCATGGCCCGTTATCATGGCCTGTGGGATTCTGCCTCTCACCCCACTATTAGCACCGTGGAGTGGTGATCGTTAATTGGTAGATCCGTTTCTGAGAAGGCATGACCTTAACTGTGCGCTATGCCTAAATCAGCTGATTTAGCCGATATCGAGCGCTTTCATGAATAGTTCACATTACGAGATCATTGAAGTAGAGATAAGTTGAAAGATATGTTAGCCCCATGATCTTATTATTGTATTACGGACTGCATGATTCTACCTCATGCCCCACTGATATTAGTAATGAGTTAGGGTCGTCAAGTCTATTATTGTTTCTATGGCCTACATGATTTTGCCTCATGCCCCACTGGTCATGGCGATAGATGAGAACTAACATGTTCATTAGATTTATCTTTATTAAATGGTCAAGTGGTGTTGAATTATTTCTTTATATAAAAAGGAGTTGGGTTACTCGTAATCACTGGCTCAGTATAAACTGATCATCATTGATATCTTATTGCCATTGATTAATATTTGCTTAAATAATATTTATCCTGAATGATAACCGATTCTTCTTATACAACTCCATGAGCTTTAATCGATTTGTTCTTATGAATATGCTAGAATCGACAATTTAGTCGATCTCCTCTCATATTGGCTCTCAGAGCCGCACATTCGGAACTGTCTGGCAACACCGGCACGTTCCGCCCTTAATTACTGATAAGCTTTCTCTCCTTGTCAATTGCAGGGTCAAATTGACTGGCACGTCTCAGGAGCATTGCGTAGGATCGACCACCCTTACGCTGAAGCTAGGCGGATCTGCTCCATCGAGCGGACCCTTCCAGCTTGCTGCGTGTGTCCTCGGCATGGAGGCGAAAATTCTGTGTCGATAGTACCTAAAAGACCAACTTAGTCTATTCCTTCACCTCATCTTCCCACCTTGAGTCAAACATTGCTTTTTGCACCAATAATAATTCCTCATTTGAAATCCATCAATCCTTTTTTTATCACAAATCATATCCAAGTCAACTTTGCAAACAACATTGATCACTTCACTTTGACTTGGTATTCCTTCTCTTTTTTAAAATGTTCATGATATAGGCACAAGCATAAAGAGACTATAGATATGTGTATGGCCTTGTCCCTTCTGTCATTTGACCTTTGCTTGACATTTCTTTACTTATTCATTCATGATCATTATTAATAAGCTATCAATCTCTTCTCATTCAGGTGAGCAAGCCAACATTGAGATCAAACATATCCATTTCCACTTGTATAATTTTGTTTTATCAATTTGCTTGCCTTTTCTTTTTTTGAGATATGACATGAGTTTGATATGATCATTTACAATCAAATCTGTCCAAAGCTCATCAAACTCATTAGTCCTTTAATTGTTTTCTCAATCAACCACCAAAACCATCTAGGGGCCAGATGCACTTTCACCATGGAGGGTGGTGAATATTTGAATCACATAACTTCTAGCCAACAATTGTGGTTAGACAACAAGCCGACCAAATGGTGAAGCTATATGATATTACTCAAACATTTCAACAAGCGGTCATGACTCATCTATCAGCGACATTAGCAGCAATGACCCAGAGGTTCGGACAGTAGGCACATACTAGATCGAGAGCCAACATGACGAGAATGCCTAGCACCATGGGTGGTGCCAACTAGGATAGTCATTGACCATGAAGCAACATCATAGCTTGACCACGAGCAACATCATTGCCTAGGAGGAACACAACGACAACCTTGTTGTCAAGAGACAACGATCGACATCGATGGATTAGCAGACAAAGCAATGCAACTTCAATCTCTTACTGAAAAAAATATCATCATCAACATCTCCTAGGCGCAACCCAACCTATAGAATGGCCAAGCAAGATAGTGCCTAACCGGTGGTGGCACCCTATAGGACACGGTCTCCAATGATGCAATGGCCACGACATGACACGACACGAGATGATCATGTGGCTTGACAATGCCTTAGATCAGCTTAATAACATGGAGCGAAGGACACCTAATGCCACAGCCCTATGCTATTTGACGATGATAAATAGGCAGGTCTACTAGATCACCCACCCTAACTACCGAGGATGCTGCCCCCAATGAAGATCGATCTCCTCAGGGGTGGTGTGGTGGCGGTAGCGGAAGCCTTAGGTTTCAAGAACAAAAACTAAACTCATGATACCATGAAAGTGTATAGTAGATTGGGTGTCAGGCGTGTGATTAATTGCATCGAGCCTCTCAAGCAATATGTATAGAGCATAAAGGCTTGAGGGGTAAATTGTCTCCTCCGATACATATGAAAATATCATATTACAATCCTAAACTACCAAATATACTCTAGCATTACCTAATATACACAATATTGCCTTTTAGTATTGACGAGCAAACTAAAACTTAATTTTTTTTATAAATACATGTAAAAAAATAAAATTTATGCTATGAAAAATAATATTTTGCTTTTGATTATTTACCCATCTATCTCCTTTGGAAGTTTAGCTTTGAAATGCTATAACCAAATAGAGTGGCAAAGAAGACGGGGAAGGCCGCCAAAACTATAGCCGCCAATGGTAGCAAGTCACGTCGAAAACCAAAGTAGTCTCTCACAAATGACGCGACGGATTTGGTCTCCCCGAATACGTCAATCTTCCTATGGTCCTCATACCCAAACTGGGTGGTGAAGAATACATTGAGTGTCCATGACATGGGGGACATGTAGTACAACCATGACCACCATTTTGGTATTTGCTGTAAGAAATGCACCAGCAAGCAAATATAAACCTTAGTATTGTATACATAATAAAATATTTTCATTGAATTTATTCTTCATCTGAGACTAGAGTTTTCTTTCTGGAATCATTAAATAGTGTGTGTATATGTGGCTATACTAAATTCTTGACTGAAAGTGAGGCAAAATAGGGAAATTATGTGTAGTTGGAAATAGACAATTTGCCACTCCTTTGTTCCACTAACATGTTTGAGAAACTCAATGATACATTAGAAAAAAATTTCTTGAACATTGGCAAACAAAATTGAGCAAACTAAACAACTGGGTCTAAGGACTTACTGGAGCAGGCACAATGAAGCCAGACATGAGGTTTTGTATAGTGTAGAACATAGATGCTAATATGGATGCCACTTGGATGTTTGGGGTGAGTGACACCATCATCATTCCAAGGTATAGGAAGTAGAGCAACGTACAAAACATGGTATACAAGAACCAGAAGAACTTTGCTGCTTCCCATGCGTATCCTATCATTGGGTAAGCTATCAACATGAAAAACAATATTTGCACAAACACATAAGGAATCTCCATAGCAACCTACATGGGAAAAAGAAACATAAAATAAATTCAAAGCCTTCATATACTAATTACTATTAACTATATATCTAAACATTATTGCGAGATCCAAAACTAGCTAGTTTATAAGCCTCTTTAAGTAAGTGGCTTGCAAGGAGTCTGTACTTACCTGTGCAAAAGAGTAAGCCCAAGGAGAGTACATTCCTGCAAACCTTTCTCTATACACAACGGAACGTTCAATGGAGACAAATGGCATCACTGACTGGCAATTGTTGATACCAGCAAATAGAGTGGTGCCATACATGCATCCCAATATGGTGAACAAACCTTGCTGGTCATTTCTACACACAAAAAGTATTAACAAAATAATACACAAATTAAGAAAATATAACTAAGAGATATGGCGTGGCGTGATGTGGAAAAGTGACGGTTTACATACATATGATTTATGTTGCCTTGCTGCCAGTATAATGCTCCAAAGGCAATGCAGGTGACTGACATGAACACAAACCGCACCAAGTTGTAGGATGGTGTCCTCCAATATGATAAGCATTGTTTCCAAATGCAGGCTTTGAACTGCTCCCAAAACTTTTGTGGATATCGCGTTGGGAAATGGAGATTGCTTGTACCCAAAGGTGGTACGCTCAAGCATTTTACGAGTTCATCTTTATCCCTTCAATCACCAACAACTTATTATTAGCACAAATCTTATGCAAAACTTAATTCCTATCAAATAAGAGGGGATTCATGACAAAATAGTTCCTTCCTAATCAAATTGCTTTTGGGGTTCATGCAATTTCTTTTCCTTAAGTATTATGGATGCACAATGTCTCTCTCAACTTGTTTTGCATGTTGTATTGCGCAATTATGGTATTAAAATGTTTCTTACACACAGATGATTTACAAGTAATTTTGATGATTTTTCAAAGCTTACTTGTACATTGGCGAGTCCCTAAAAACTTGTGCAAAGTCGACTCCGAGTTGAGCTTCCATTGATGTTGAGGTAACTTCTAGCATCCATGTTGATGGGTTGTAGTTCTCCTTGATCTTGGGTACCCCAGGAATTGCCTAGAAAAAAAAGAGGGAATACTTTCACAAGTCTGTTAGCCTAGGAACACACTCTGCTCAAGGATAAAATGTAGGTCAATGTTGATTATCCTTAATTAAAACTAAATGTAGGTTAATTTTATAGTAGAATATATTGGTGATTATTGAACTTGGCTATTCCATGGTTATGTACATTGTAATTCATCAGGACTATATAAGGAAAGAATATATCAAAAAATGGAAACCATGGTGAAGTCTATTTGCATGCAAAATAAGAAGGCTTACATTGATTTCAATCACAATATAAACTATACATTTTTTGAAACAAATAATATAAACTATACCTAAGTACTGATAAATTATGCTTCCTTTTGATTACCTGGAAATATTTGATGACCTCACATGACTGGTGTCCAAGAGGCCCAGCATAGATCAATTGTCCACCTTTTTTCATCAGCATCAGCTACATAAGAATTTTACAAGTGTATGGTAGGACTTAAAAGAAATGCAAAATCAACCAGATACATTAAATTAGATGAAATAACTATTTTCTTTGGAAACAATAGGTTTAATTTTACTCTTAGCATATCAAACACTTAGACATGAGACGGTTGAGGAAATGCAGTTGGGGTTGTTTAGGTAGACAACTAATGTCTCGATGAAAATTAATTTCTGGAGATTGGATTTTTAGGAGTTCCATCTAAGCTTGCATGAATTTTATTTAGGCCCTCTAGTGTAAAGATGGCAACGGGGCGGGTGGAGTGTTTGCAGACCCGCACCAAGACCCGACAATGAAACCTGAACCCGCCCCGAACCCTGTTACGTGGGAAGATCCGCCCCCACCCTTGAACCCGCTGGGTCCCCGAAATCCAATGGGTTCACCCAAAACCCGCTAGATTCGTGAGCCTGTGCCCGAGTTTAGGTTGGGGCGAATGCGATTCCATAGGACCGCTGACCGCCGGCGAAGTCATGAAGGGGGCAGATGGCACAGGAAGACCCAGCGTCCATGCTGTGCTGTGCGCCTGGCCGTGTTGCGTCTGTGTTTGCAGAAGAAGAACATAACAACAATAAAGAATGTAATGAGAGAGGAAGACGAGCGGTGGGCGGGTCGTCTTTGTCATGCCTGCACGCCTACCACCCTCAGGCGCGTGCGTGCACACACACCGATGCCGCCCTGACCACCTGCCATGCGTGCGCCCTGCCGTGCCATGCATCTACCGTGTGTGCGCCGAGCGAGGATGACGGCTGCTGGCGGCGGCTAAGACTGAGGGGTGTGGTGTGGCTGAGAGAGAGAGGGGATTTAGGATTTGGAATTTGCTTATATACCTAGGGCTTCTAGTTGGGCTGGGCCATATTTGTGGGTTCTAGTGGCTCTCTAACTTTAGTTTTTGGGCCCCGCGGGGGAGAATACATACCCACCCCGTTTCAAGGCCCCGAACCCAACACCTGCGGGGTGAAAAGTGGACCCACCCCTGCCCCCGACCCCGCCGGGTCCAAAACCCGCAGGTTTCGGGTCTAGACCCGCCCCGTTGCCATCCTTACTCTAGTGCTTCATACTGCTCTCAGGCTATAACCTATACCTTATCTTGTCTTGGAAGATTAGAATTTAGAAAGTATTTGTCCTATTATTTTGTAGTACCTCTTCTTTATTATTGACCAAGGGTACAAAAATGGTATATTACCTCGTCAAATGACTCAAATATTTCGATACTTGGTTGGTGAATGGTGCACACAACAGTTCGACCTGTGTCCGCAACGTTCTTCACCGCACGCATGACGATAGCAGCTGCCCTTGCATCCAAGCCTGATGTTGGCTCATCCATGAATATGATTGAAGGGTTAGATACAAGCTCAACTGCTATTGTGAGCCGCTTCCGTTGCTCTATAGATAGTCCATTTATGCCTGGTATCCCAACCAAAGCATCTCTTATTTCATCCAACTCAATTGTTTCTAGAACTTGATTGACAAATTCCTGTGAGAGAAAATAATAGCAGTCACCTTGTAGTTCTTTGTAATTTTCCTTGTAGATAAGATGGAATTATGAAAGAAAATCCACTTATCTAGACATTTCATAAAATATAACTCACATTTCGGGTTTTGGAGTTGATTTCTATAGGAAGGCGCAACCAGGCTGAATATGCAACAGACTCACACACTGTGATCTGTGGAGAATGAACATCAGTTTGTTCACAGTAACCTGATATCCTAGCAAAGGTTTGTTGAACTTTAGGATAACCTCCTATTCTTATATCTCCTTCTATAACACCACCAGTTTTCCTCCCAGCAAGAACATCAAGCAAGGTTGTTTTCCCTGCCCCAGTAACCCCCATGAGTGCTGAAAGGACTCCTGGTTGGAAGGCTCCTGTGATGTTGTGGAGTAGTTGAATTTTTCTCTCCATGCAACCTTGCTCCCTCATTTCCTGCAACAACACTTTTATGGTAAAAAAATGTTCTGAACTTTTTTTGTTGCTAGTAAGTTTCATTTTTCTCTTTGTTTGATTCATTGGGAAGCACAAGTGTCTGCCATGCCCATATGTTGATCCATCAAGCACAGCTTTCTTCCACTAGTAATTGTCTTGACTTTTTAGGGTACGATAATTACCGCAGGTGTGTCCACATAGTAGTTCACATCCTGAAATGATATTGCAAGGGGTGTGAAAGGTAATACCATCCTTCCTGCATAATATTTGATTATTGAAAAGTGAGTTCCATGTCACTGACACTCAAGCTGTATTTTGTTGCACACTATAGAATTGAGACTAACCAGTCCTGCTGGGAGTAGAAGAATTTTCTTCTTGTGGCTTATGTATACCATCTTCAGTGTATTGAGCCATACATTGGTCTCTCCCATTAAATGTGGTAAGCTTATCACGAGAAATAATAGCTCTAGAAGTTCCTGGAGCTGAGAATGAGGTACATGGGAGATTAGAACAGTTTGTGCTTTGATGTTTGAACTATTCAACATAAGCTTTTGTCAACTTCACAATTAAGTTACATCTGAAAATACAAGTATTCCAGATTTTTAATTCAAAGAAAATTTTTAGCCACAATGCACTTACGCTTTCTAATAGTCAAGCCAAAGGCAAAGCCTATATTGAATAACAAAACGAACCCAATTAATGCTCCAACTGAAATCCAGTAGAAGTAGCTGGAGAAGTTTAACCCCCTATCCATTAATATCCTTCGTCCAAGTGTCACACCAGATACCGTGAACTACCAAAATAGAAAAAAAATTAGTACAATGTCAGAGTGCTGAAAAACTGCATATTAAATATCTTTTGTTATATTTTGTATTGTGTTAGTATGAATCAATTAAAAGGGAAAAAATATGTTAGTTTTACACTTTTAAACACGGCTTGAAAAAAATTAGGCCTTCAGTTCAGCTAACAAGGTAGGAGTAGTAAACTACAGTAAAATTATACAAATAGTGTATACAACAAATACACCATGCTTCCAAAGATCAAGAGACATGCTTTTAGTTATGGAGGAGTCTACAATTATCAATAAAAATTCTTTTTATGCCAAAGTTTACCTTTAGCCATCTTGGCGCCAAGAACTCATTCCCAGTTAAGCCTATCTCAGCGTATGATAATGGAGAAAGCCAAAATCCCCATTTCAACCAATTAGGCATGGATTCTGTAGCAGTTTGGCCCAAAAATGTGTTAGGAAACTTTTGTTTAATAGTTGAAGGTCAATATCTTGCTTGAAGTATAAATTCATGAAACCATGGGAATGCCTTACGGCGAGGAATGATGAAACCCCCAAATAGAAGGATGACTAGAAATGACATTGTACCACCCACTGAACTAGCAACCATTGTTTGGCAATAAGAGGCAGCACATCTAAACATCGATAACGCTCCAGTGTGGATCAGGAAGAGGATAAGAAGATGACGGAAGAATCTGCACACACAAATGGTTCATAAAGCAGTAACGAAATCTCATCTTTTTTGAGCAAATAGTTGTAACTGAATATTAGCAGATAGAACTATAGATAAGGCCTAAGGGGAACATATCTTATTGACCTAATCGGATCAGGTCACTGAAAGATTAGTTAAACAATCTACCAAAAGGCATCTTTTTGCTAGACTACTACTAAGGAAAAATGTCATATACATGAGAGGCATGGTTTACATCTTCATTTAAAGAAGCTTATGCAGATAAAAGTTGACACATATAAGCATTATTACCAAAGTTGATAACAGAAATATGATATGATTGAATTAGTCATAACGAAATTGTAATTCCTACCTGGATGCCTCAGTAGTATAGCCAATGAGGAAGTAAGATAGTGATGCCCAAGCTATTGACTCGACTAAAGAGATTGGAACCTTTAGGATAAAAGCTGGTACTGCATACGCCCATGCAGGGTAGAAGTAATAGTCTCTTTGTTTGTAGAAGACTGGAAGTCTACTAATTGCCATGGCAAGCTCAGGGAATCCATTCACCATCAGCAGGAGGAGTGCATAGAAGAGCGAACCCATGTAATAATTAGCATGAACTCTATCAATACCCATATGTGTGCGCAAAAATACTGTCCCAGTAATAGCGGCAAGTAATGCAAGCTGCAGTAATAGTGCACTATTAATTTCTAATGGTTACGCTAAGAAAAATATAAAATCATATATTAATTCATATCTTCTGTAAGATATACTTTTGAATTTTTCACCCTAGCACACTAAAGTACTGTAATGTTCATATAAGCACATGAGCGTTTAATTTTTTAAATATCAAACTGTGTAGGAAGTTCAAGTAATATTAATGCAGGTTATCAATGTGCTAACCTTTTTTTTAGATGTTCTGATGTTCCAACATTCCACTTTTCTGAGCACGTAGAACAAAATAGCTAGGTACTGCAGATTTGGTCAATTCCATGTACTAAGAGTGTGTGATGTGACCATTTGCGTCTATACCGTGCAAAGAAAATGAAGTCTTACTTCAATCGGTATCTATTAAGTTGAATGCACTGACCAATTCAAACCCAAAAGCTTAAGCTGATGTGGAAAGATGGATAATTCACTTATATTCAACACTCCTCTCACGTGGAGGCTCCCTCAGGCCTCACATGTGGAATAGGCGTGAGCAATAATTATTTTATTTTTTTGCTTTAACCAGGACTCAAACTCGAGATCTCTGGCTTTGATATCATATTGAGTTGTATGCACCGATCACTTCAACACAAAAGCTTAAACCTATGTTACACGAATACTTCCCTGAAGACGCATATCGCATATCCGATACGTATCGGATACGGATACGTGTCCGATACGCCCAGGATACGTATCCTCCGAGTATCCGCTTTTTTATTATTTTCGTGATAATCGGATACGCCATCGGACACGTATCCTGCCTCCTGATACGGCCCAGCCCAGTAGAAGCCTAGGAAGACAGACCTTATCCTCTGCCCCGATGCCCGCAGTCTGCAGTCCCGCAGTCCCGCACGGCAACGAGCTCACGGCTGTGCCCGCGCGTCGCGCCACAACACCGCTTGCCGGCGGCCGGCCACCGGCGACGAGCCTCCTTCTCCGCCTCCGCCTCCGCTCGCCGGTGACACGCCTCTGTCCCTACTCTCCGGCCGCCAGTGACGAGCCTCTGCCTCCGCTCGCCGGCCGCCAGCGACGAGCCTCCGCCTCTGCTCGCCTCCGTCCCTACTCGCCTCCACCCTGGCACCCTGCGACATGGATCCATGAGTTAATCCCCTTCCCTCTTCTTCTCCCTCTACTTGTTGCTTGATTTCTTTGCTCCCCACGCCGCATCCCCACTTCGTCTTCCCGAGTTCCCCTTCCTCCCTTCGTCTTCTATTTCTGCAGTGTAGTTAGTCTGTTAGTGAGTTCTTGTTGCTTTGCTTGTATGCAGTAGATGGCGTCTCCAAATATGAGCAATGCTAGTGCAAGTGCTAGTGTAGGATCTGCAGCCACAAACACAACAGACATCAAGGCTCCACTTTGGGATCATGTAACCATTCTGGAGAAGCCTAAAACTGGTGGAGGAAATGCTATGTGGCGCTGCAAGTACTGTCCAATGCAAAAACTGAGTAGTTACATTAGAGTTGAAGCTCATTTGTTGCAGAAGGGAGGAAGGGGAATAGATAAATGTCCTAATGTTACATATGAAATGCTTAGTGAAATGAGGAAGGAAATTGAAAGGTGCAAGAATCTGGTGGAAAGATCAAGTCAAGAACTGTTTCTTTGCCTATTGCTCCTTCCTCAAGCAATACTGCTGACAGCAACAAGAGGAACAAGAGGGGGCATGTTTCTGCATTGGAAAAAGCTTGGCCATTGGAAGACCGTAAGCACTTGGATGATTTAATTAGTAGAGCAATTTATTATGGAGGGGTATCTTTCAATTTTCTGAGAAATCCATATCTTCGAGAATCCTTTACCTTTGCTTGCAGCCGCAACATGCAAGGTTATGTGATTCCTGGTTACAACAGAGTTAGGGAGGGACTTTTGAAGCAAGAAAGGAGGCACATAGAGACTTTGTTGGAGAGCACAAAGAGCACATGGGCAGAGAAGGGAGTCACAATCTGCTTTGATGGTTGGTCAGATCCTCAGAGGCGACCAATTATCAATTTTGTTGTTGTTTCTGAAAAGGCACCTATGTTCTTGAGGGCTGATAATTGTGAAGGTCAGTACAAATCAAAAGAATACATTGCTGAGAAGTTGAGGGGTATAATTGAAGAAGTAGGTCAACATAATGTAGTACAAATCATTACAGACAATGCTGCAAATTGCAAAGGTGCTGGTCTCATAATAGAATCTGAGTATGATAACATATTTTGGACACCATGTGTTGTGCATACCCTCAATCTTGCTATGAAAAGTATATGTGAACCTAAAATAGGAAACAACCCTTCTGATGAAGAAATATTTGCTTGGGGGAACTTGAATTTATACATGATGTTAAAACTGAGGCTGCTATGATAAAGAATTTCATAATGAATCATGGCATGCGGCTTTCAATGTTCAATGAGTTCAGCCGTTTGAAGTTATTTTCTATTGCTGAAACTAGATTTGCATCTGTTGTATGTATGTTGAAGCGGTTTGTTGAGGTAAAAATAGCGCTCCAACAAACGGTGATTAGTGACAATGGAGTGTGTATAGAGAAGTCAGAGATGATTCTCCAACTCCAACATCCCAAATTGTCAGGGACTTGATACTTAGTGATGTATGGTAAGACAAAGTGGACTACATTCTTAGGATTACTACTCCTATATATGAAATGATTTGTACAACAGACACTGACACACCATGTCTTCACTTAGTTTATGAGATGTGGGATTCAATGATAGAGAAAGTGAAGAAAGTCATATATCGATATGAGGGCAAGCAAGAAGATGAAGACTCAAGTCTGTACTCGGTTATTTATGACATATTGATTGCTAGGTGGACAAAAGGAAATAATCCACTTCATTGTTTAGCTCATTCACTTAATCCAAGGTACAAAACTACAAACTGCCATTCAGATTTTTTCCATTCACTTGTGTCATTCATATTTTTTCCATTCACTAAAATCATAATGCCAAATTGCAGATATTATAGCAAAAGGTGGCTTGACAAAGGTGTTGGCCGTCAACCATCCCACAAGGATAAAGAGGTATCGAAAATGAGGATGGTTTGCTGAGGATGGTTTGCTTTAAGAAGTTCTTTCCCATGCCAGAAGAATTGGCTAAAGTAAAAGAAGAGTACTCAAGGTTCTCTAGTTGTTCACAAGAATTTAATGATCCTGACTCAATCCATGATAGATGGGTTGTTTCCCCTATGACTTGGTGGACAAATCATGGACAATCTGCTCCCTTATTAATGAGTTTGACCATGAAATTTCTTAGCCAATCAGCCTCATCTTCTTGCTGTGAAAGAAACTGGAGCACCTATAGCTTTATCCATAGTGTTAAGAGAAATGCCTTAACTCCAGAGCGTGCTGAAGATTTGGTCTTTGTGCACACAAATCTAAGGCATCTGTCAAGAAGAACTGATGCATACAAGACAGGAGAGACAAGGATGTGGGATGCAGGAGGGGATTTTTTGATTCACTTGGTGGTATTGGCATTCTTGAAGTGGCCGACCTGTCCCTTGATGAACCTAAATTAGAAGCTGTGACTTTTGGTTTGATTGCTCCACAGGTTGATGTTGCGGATGAGATTGAGACAATTGAGGAATAGGAATAGGAACTTGCTGCTGCATGAATTGCAAGCCTAAATACATTTTATTAATTTTCTAGATTTGAGACTACTATATTTGAGAGTTGAGAGACTACGGACCTGCTGTTATGTAAAAATAGTACTTAAGTAGTTAATTGTGATGTTTTATTGTTATCGGTTTTAAATTCATACCTGCATTATTATTATTATTATTTTATTTTTTAAATAGTAAACGTATCCGCGCATCGGGTTTTTTTGGGAAATTGCCGTATCCACATATCCATATCCTTCCGATACCGATACACATATCCGTATCCGTGCAACTTAGGCTTAAACTGATGAGGAGAGATGGGCAATTCTCTTATATTCCTACAGTATCCAATTTCCTTGAATAGAGATCTCTTAATTGTTGGGAGGGTTCATGATACACTAATAGTTCACTCTGATGTCAAAGATGATTAAAAAATAAAGAACATGATTTTCTCATTCTTGTGCAAAGGTTTGATTACAATGTCCACAGTAGCAAAACAAATTTATCCATATATTTCTATAGTTAGAGGGCTGATCTAGCACAATGGTAGAATCTGGCATGGAGGGTCATGTTCAAATTAGCATTTTCTTTAAAAAAGAAAAAGAAGAGCAAGGGTAAGAAAAGCCTAGAAATCCCAATCCTTACACCCCACGATTTGAGGAAGCTTTCAGCACTATATACATCCCAAGCATTTTGGTGTATAGCCAAAAGTACAAATAATATGTGTGATTTTCATATGGTCGTCGATATTTAGCTCCATGCATTCATTTAGAACTGTCAAATTAGGTAGCAAGCTTTCGTATTTGTTTTATAATACATAATGCACATGCTCAACATTTTTTGAGGGTCTATGTTCAAAAATTTGTATTTATTGACAATATTTTTCTACGAAAAATCATTTCTAAGTGCTTTACCTGAACAGTTTTTGTTATGTAGATGAAGGCATTCCGTTTCATGAGGAGAAGCTCCCTTGCAAAACATGCTTTGAGGAGGTCCCACTTGGATAACGAATAGATACTGTAGGACAATGCATTTTTATGCCCTTTTGATTTGTCGTAAGGTTTTGAAATATCTCCAGCAAGACTTTGACCAACTTGAGACACTCTAAACTTGTCGCAGAACTGGTCAACAGTAACAAAATTGTATGTTTCTCCGCAGCTGATCCAATGTTGTTGTTGGTCCTTTTTCGACAAGACCTATATATAAGTATGAATGAATGAGAATTCCTAGGTTCCAATGGAGTTAACCAATTAGCCGAAAATATAATATAGTCTATAACGGACTATTGCTTCATAGGTACAGTTGTTAATCATTTTCCATGATCCTTTCACAAACTATAGATGTTACTCCTTGGTACGTTACACAGATGGTTAAACATGAAGCATGTGTCCACAAAAAGAATAGAGAACACTTTGTCAACCTAAATATCTAGTTTAACTATTATGCATATTGCAAAAAAGGAAAACTGATATGCTAAGGCATCAAACAAGGTTTGGCATGCAAGACATTATGCATTACTGCATAAAGAAGATGATTCTGATAGAGTTTACAAGAGCTACAAAGATTCAGATAGTAATTATATGGCCTATCCTGCAACACAAATGATAGATCACAAGATTTTCGTGCTTAAGGTCAGTGGTTAAGACCCTAATCTCCTTCATAGAAGACTAGTAGTAGAAACATAGATACCAAGTACCTTCCGTATACTCTCATTGTGCTCTAGTGGGAAACATATTTTGGTTAAATGAATTATGCTATTCCCCAACAAATGTTATGAACAAGTAATGATATGATATAGGAAATGTAACAGAAACTGAAAGATTCCATTGTTGCTTGTTTCTACATAACCAATTTTGTATTACGGTATTACCTCTTGGAGAAAGTCAGCAGCACCTTTCCTATCAGGGCACTTGAATCCACATGATTCAAAGAAACTCATAATGCAACTCTTAGATCCATGGTACACAATTTTTCCTTCGGCCATCAATATAATATCATCAAAAAGCTCATAAGTCTCTGGTGCTGGTTGAAGAAGTGAGACTAGTATGGTAGACTCTGAGATATGAGCCAACTGTTGGAGGCAAGAAACAATTTGGAAGGTTGTGGAGCTATCTAGCCCAGTTGATATTTCATCCATGAAGAGTGCTTTTGAGGGTCCTACTATCATCTCTCCTGATAGTTAGACAAGTTTTTTTAAAGAAAATAGTTAGACACATTTTTCAGAAATGGAACAACCATCCACAATTGAATGAACTAAATTTAGCTACCTAATGTAGACCAATTGAGGTTGGGATTATATAGCAAATGGATACACATATATATTTCCTTCTTTAAACCAAAACCGGTTATTTCCAGCTTGCAATGCATAGGACAGGGGTGTGTGTGTGTGTGTGTGTGGGGGGTTGTCCCCCTTAAACTAAAAAGAAGGAATGAAATGGAGTATATCATTCCATCAGAATCATAGACATTTAGTCGATTCTTGTAGTATTTTAGTTCAATCCCTATTCCCTACAGAATTGTAATTGGGATGATGACATCATCATCATCAAATAATTCTAGCTATCGCGGTATCACCTGTGGTAAGTCTCTTCTTCTCACCGCCTGAAATACCTCTTCTCATTGCATCTCCCACCATTATGTCAGCACATATGTCAAGTCCCATGATCTGTCAATCGAGGCAGAGCTTATTCATTCATATAGAGGGAAAGATTCTCACACAGTGGACAAAGTGCTTGCATGTCTCCTTAGACGACAATTAAGATAAGACTATATATACCTTCATAATGTAGTCTGTTTGCATGCTCGTTTCTAAACCTTCGACAGATATCGCCTATGGAAAAACATGTGATGCGCATTAATACTGAAGTAGAATCATGCACGTTCTATGATTTGCTTGTTAGATAATCAAAAAGAGAGGATTGCATGTACTGATAAACTATATAAAAATTGATGTATCACTTGATAAAACTACTAGTGTTTTACCTTCATATAAGTGTCGACATCAGGGTCAGGGGTAATCCCGGCCGCCTTCTCCCTTGTAATCACCTCCTTCATGATTTCTGATAAAGATAGAGCGGTATGTACTGAGAATGAGTGATTGCCTGCCTATTATTTTGATTTGATTTAAGACATTGAGCCAGCCGGTTGATGAGATGAACGAAGCTAGTTATTTAGTACAGTAACCTGCTCTGTTGCCAACGCCTTGGAATCTTGCAGAGAAGTCGATAGTCTCTCTGACAGTCATCTCAGGGACATGAAGGTCGTACTGATCGATGTAAGCTGCGGTCTTCTCCGGGACGAAGTGCTTCAGCTCCACACCATTGTACTCTATGTCTCCTGTGACCTTGAGACTGGCGTTGTTGAGCTTCCCCGCGAGCGCCTTGAGGAGGGTGGTCTTGCCGCAGCCAGGGGGTCCCAGGAGCAGCGTCAGCCTGGAAGGCTTGACGACGCCGCTGACGCCGCTGAGGATGCGGATCCTGGCTTGCTGCCGGTTGAGGTTGAGGCCCAGCATGGTGGAGCATACAGAGAGGTTGGAGATGACGGCGTTCCAGATGGTGGGGAGCGGCTTCCCCTGCACCACCTGGCATTCCGCCTCGACGCAGACGTCGCGCCAGCGCACCTCCACCGTGGGCGGGCGGACGCCGACCCTGTCCATCCTCTGGCGCTGCTTGCGGAGCAGGCGGAGGTTGTCGCGGTGGACGTTGGCGATGAGGGTGTCCACCACCATGCGCCGCTCCGCCGCGCCCAGCCTGCGCACGTCCACCACCTGGTCACGGTCTTGGTCTGTGTGGAGGAGCAGCGAGGTGTGAAGCCTGTCCAAGGTGGGCAGCCTCTCGACGGCCGCCCATCTCAGCTCAACCTCGTCATCCTTGTCCTGATGCTCGTGTTGCAGCTGGTTGAGGGAGAGCGAGCGGGACAGGCTCTCCCTGAAGCTGGCTGCCGCAGCCCGCCACGACGACGACGACGACTGCTGCTTCTGCAGAGGTGATTCCCTGTCGATCTCCAGCGACAGTGACCTCCTCCGGTCGCCCTGCGCTTCCAGCAGCTCATGGTCTTGCTCATCACAATGATCATCCAGCTGCTGGCGCTCCTCGCCGTCGCCACCTTGGTGATCCATGTCCATCACAATGCGCGGCCCCTGCTTCGGCTCCTACTTTACTACTCGTCGTCGTCGCCGTCCTGCACTTGCAGTTGTCGTCGCCTATAGGCTATAGCAATGGCATACAAACAGGGAAGGGAAGCAGGGCAGAGCATGTTGAGCAGGCTGCAACTGCAACATATGCAACAATGGGTCGCCTCGCCGATTCCATTTTCATTCTGTCTGTGTAGGAGTATATACTGTAATATCTAATACATACATGGCAATGGCCAATGGTGGCATTGGTTGGTGTACACGCTACACAGCTTAGATAGAGCTTACATAATATATATTAACATAAACAATAGGAGTATGCTTTGGTGATGCACGGATGCTATTGGAGCTCGTAAGTCAAGAGTCATCAACCAACTGCTCGTTCCGTTGCTTCATCCTCGAATCTTCATCTTAATTTATCCCCTTCAATTTTCTTCTCTTCCAATGCAAGAATCCCAATTTCTTTGACTTTTAATTGGTGATGAGTTTGACTAGACATTGGCATTATTATATACAGTGATGATTCATTCCTATCTCTCATTTCTTGGGCAGGATCCATCCATCCAACCAAAAGCTGATGTAAGCCATGACGTTGCTCATCCATGTTCTAAGTTTCTTTCTTTTCTTTTGAACCTAAACAGGCAGGATCTGCCGTTTACTTACTAAAAAAAATATGGAAGTCAGCCTAAGCCGAGAAGGATAAGTTTAATTATACTTCTAGTTGTCTAGAGCCGGAAACATGTACACACATCATCTTGTAGCTCAGTGGTACGACTTCCAGAGGAGCCATACCCGCCCCCCCCCAGGGTCAATAAAAATCCCCTCGCTGGCGAAGCTGGTTTGGGGGTTTTCCGCGGCCGGAAGCTGTGGCTTTCCTCTTAATGAAAAACGGGTGGGGCTGTTCCCGGTCGCGTTTTTTTTTTCCAGGTCACACGAGAATGACAATGATAGACGTACTTCTTTTAGTACATACATAAATAGAGTAGCACAATATGAATATATACAGAGTTAACAACATGCACAATGTTTATACACAGACTAAAGACAACACATTTACACATGCAGCATGGGCTACCTGGCTGCAAAGCAGAGAAAATTTCTAGAGCACGCCAGGTCAGCCAAATGTCTTCTCGCTGCTGTAGCACATGTAAAGGAAGTCGTCTTTGTCCTTGTACGAGTCATAAACACTTCCCATCAGGCTAGCTGTGGGAAAAAATTCATCATCACTATCAATTCAGCTCAACCCATTTCTACTTATATGAAATGTCTAGTTTCAACCTTCTGCATCTTATAAAGTTCTAGCTCCTAATGCTTTTCACAACATCAATCCCATCGTAATGCAAGCCTGGACAAACTGTCTAAAGCTTCAGCAGGGATCAGAGAGTTATCAAAGGACAGACAGCATATTATATTGATGAACAACAATCTCACCTGTTTGGGGGCAAAGTGTTGTTTACAAAAACAAAGAGAGCTGTTCCTGGAGATAGGTGCAGCCTGGACGCGTAGTATGAAAATGAACTGCCCAACCGGCATGTCACAGGAAACCAGGTACCTGCACCATAAATAAATTTATATTGCTACATTTCAATTTTCAAAAGAGGATGGTCAATGAAGTTACTGCAAGACATCAGTCACAGGCATGTATGGAATCAATGACAATGAAACACCCAATCCATCTCTAGTAATGTATAATGGGCACAAGAGAAAAGAGTAACAACTTACTTCCTCTTCTCCATTTGTGGTAAATTACTCCTTGAAAACCTTTCAACAATAACCTGCAAATAGAAGCTAATAATTCAGGAATGCCATGTTCATCAAGCAATAGATGCCAAACATATGTATTGACGGCAAGAGGGAAATGCAGAGTCAACATAGGTGATAATTTAGGTGGATATATATCATCAGTTTCAGTTCGGTTGTTCAGGGTACCCAAAAACTTATTAATGATTTAGATTAGAATTTGCAACGTAGACTCTCATGAATGAATGTAAGAACCCTTGAGCATCAAAAAAATGATTTGCAGGAGCATGGTGGACATAACTGAAAGGAGAGGAACTGATGCAATCTGAACAGGTCAATTAATAGTCCAGCATAATATAAACAAAATGATGAAACCCTGAATGAACCACCAGGCCCCAGCATGAGAAAGACTGGGATATCTTTTTTGAGTTCCGAACTCCGAAAGGCTAGAATTTTGTGAGCAATTCGGTGTGCTGTTTGGTTCTATCAAAATCCACATATACATGATGATGACTGATATCGTGTAGAGGAGGATGAAGTGCAAAAGGCGAGCAGTATTAACCAATTAAGAATACTAGTATAGTACTTCTAATAATCGATTAGTGACGCGAATACGAAGAGGAGAAGAAGAGTCAGGCTCAGACCCTGCCCACCTAGGGTTTGGAAGGCAGAGGCAAGCAAGCTGGGAGAGGAGGAAGGAAAGCGAATAGAGAGACTTGACATATGGGGATCCTGGCGGGGTAGTTAGCCATCGTGGCGGCGGATTCCTGGAGCCTCTCATCTGCACCCCGACCCCAAGCATGCATCAGGAATTACTCAATTAAGTGAATTGCAGAGTTAGATGTGGACTGAGAGCTACTGACCGAAGGTGAATTCTTGCTTGAAGGGCTTCATGGCGGATCTGATCGAATCGAATCGTCGATCGCTTGTGCTTCCGTCCGTCATTGGAACTCCTCTCCAATCGGCTGCCGCTGCGGGAGGAAGAAGATGACTGAGGAAGCGACGGTAAAGCAGTAGCTGGGCTGGGCTGCCTGGTTCCAGAAATAAGAAGCCCATACTAAACCAATTAAGTCATGGGGGGCCATACCTACAATCTCGCAGTAGCCCATCCAACTAGTTGCCGACTTGTCTGTCGTCGCGGCTCCACATCTCCCTCCCTCGCTCGCCGCCGCCCTGCTCCTACTGCCGCCGCCGCCAGAGAAGAGAGAGAGCATGACCGACGCCCTCGACATGTCTCTCGACGACCTCATCTCAAAGAGCAGGAGCACCCACCAACGGCCCCGTGGGCGAGGCCTCCCTCCGAAGGCGGAGGCCACTACTACAACATTTTTTACCGAGGCGGGCAAAAACGATTAACCGAGGCGGTTTTTGCAACCGCCTCAGCAGAAAGGTCACGGTAAATGTGAGATTTTCTGAGGCGGTTCCATGCCCGCCACGGTAAATCGGATAAAAAAACAAAAATGCCTAGATCTAGCCCTAACCGGGCCTGGATCTGGGCTCGCTCTAGATGTGCCGAGGACTGCGGTGACCGCCCATGATGGAGGGCGGATCCGACCTCCACGCCGCCGCCGGAGCTGAAGGGGCAGGAGCGCCGCCATGGGGAGAGGGCCACCGCGCCGGAGTGGAGGAGGGGCGCCGCCGCCGCTTGTCTGCGCCGCCCGCGTTGCCTGCGCTGCTGCCGCCTCGCCCGCTCCCGAATCCAGTGGCGAGGGCGAGGAGGAGCCTGGATCCGGCCTCCCCGCCACCAGATCCGACCTCCCCGCCCGCGTCGCCTGAGGGAGCGTGGGAGGGGAGAGGGCCGCCGCGCCGGAGGGGAGGAGGGACGCCGCCGGAGGAGGAGGAGGAGGCGGCGGCCTCACGCGCCCCGCCCGAGGAGGAGGAGGAGGCCGCCGTGCGCACCCACCTTGAAGGGCCACCCCATCGGAGGAGGACAAGGAGGAGAGGGATGACGGGCGCCACCGTGGTTGGAGGGAGGAGGGGTGCCGCCATGGTGGGAGCAAGGAGGGGTGCCACGCGTGGTGGGAGGGAGAGGGGGAGAGAGAGGGCGGTCGGTGTGTGAGAGGGAGGCGTCGGTGTGTGTTCGCTCGGCGTGGTGAGGAGGGGCGCCAACGGCTGACGGGATGAGGGAGAGGGAGGCGGAGAGGAGAGTGAGAATGAGTGAATCAAACCCTAAGTCCCATATATATACTCTGAGGGAGAAAGCGGGCCGAAATGGGCTTTTCCAAATCTGAGTGGGCTTGGCCATATTAACCAAGGCAGGCCTATAGGCCATATTAACCAAGGCGGGCCTATTATAACGCCTGGGAAAATGGCCTGATTTTCCCAAGCGGGCCAATTATAAGGCCCGCCTCAGTTAATAGATTTTAGGACCGCCTCGGTTAATAAAAAATAACCGACTCGGTTAATCCAGGCATTAACCGAGATGGTTGAAATGACTGCCCGCCTCCAAGACCTATTTGTAAACGCTGCATAAATTTTTTTGTGTAGTAGTGGGCCCAGGCCCCGCACACACGGCGCCACGACGCCGCTTCAACACCTGCGCTACCGCAGCACCTTACCTCCACCGCGCAGCCTTCTCTTTCAAGGTGAGTGTCGGAGATCCCTTCCTCCCCACCCTCTCCATGCTGCTGCTGCTCCAAAATCCTAATTGAAGTTGAACGCACCAGCCCTAATCACTATTCACTGAATGAATCGCAGACACATTCGCGGCCCATGGCTTATGCTGGATATAGGGCCATCCAGCCCCAGCCGCCGATGGTGTCCGCCATCGACGAGCCCACCAAGCGTCTCCAACGACGACATCAAGGTCACTCTTTTTCTCTTGCCATTAAACCGTGCTGGTATATCTGATTCATCATTTGATAGTATAGTGTTGCTTATATTACTGCAAGGAAACAAACAATTTGATTCTCCCTATTTTGTTATGCTCCACCATTCTATTTCTACACAAGCAACATGCTCATCCTCCCTTGCCTGACTGATCAGGAACTCTTTTTTGATGTTGGCTATATCAAGCGTTACTCCATCAACTATGACAGGAGTGGAAGATCAAAGGTAGGATACTTCTGAATTCTGATGCCCATGCTCTTTACTCTTTTCTATCTCATGAGCCTCAATGCTCATTAATTACTTTACTGTGGTTCAACATTGGCAGGGAACTGCAGAGGTCATGTTCTCAAGAAGGTCTGATGCTCTAGCTGCCGTTAAGGGGTACAACAATGTGCAGCTTGATGGCAAACCTATGAAGATTG